ACCTCCCATTATAAATGTGGGCTTTGGGGGCTATATATAGCAGATTTAATTACCAAGTAGCTCACTCTCTCCTCCTCTCCTTCTCATTCACACACCCAGAAAGTATTGAGTATTGGAGAGGTCCACAGATGCCTACGCCTCCTCTACTCTCGCGGAGCTAAAGTTAAGAAAACCACAGAAACGCTCGCAAACACAGGTTCATACACAGCGCTAGTTTGCCTTTAACATGCGGCAGAGGTCACGTGAACGTTTGTACATGTTCAAGTTCATTTTCTCAGTTCTGTATTTTACTTTTTTGTAATCCTTAGATGTTTTACTGTACTATTTGACTGTATTTATGTAATTGCATAGTAACTATGTAGCAATTACATTGTAAGTTCACAAAAAATGTATTTACATTTGATTTACTGTATCAACAGCTTTGACTGCACTTTTTTTTGTTTTTATGTCAAAAAATGACAAACATGGCAAACGGGATGTTTTTGCTTTTCAAAAAACAAGTAAGGTATTGACTGAATTCCCTTTTGATAGTATTTCTTTCTGTCTAACTCACAATGAGTTAAAAGTAAGTATGACTTCTAAGGAATAGAAAATAAATACAATAACAGTTTTCTTTTTTAAAACAATACTGGACTGTTTCACTTCAGTGCTCTGGTATATCTATGCTGTATCGAGAATGAAGAAACCTCTCTTGAAGAAACCTCTTCAGGTATATTGATAGCATTGCATTTTGAAAATTCCTAACCAATAACAAACTCAGCATCCCGTCTGCACACACTCAGTATAAAACACGAATGACTTTAGTTTTTTTCCATAAATTTAGGAGACATTTCAGAAGATTAGCAGGCATGTTACTTCAACAATGGAGATCACTGCAAATCCCTGAAATTATGCAAATGATAAAGTAATGGAACAGGAATAAGCAATAGCAGAATTAGAATTCTTCTCCCTTATTTCACTGCAAGGAGCGCAGTTTCGTTTCATCTTTCAGGCTCTGCTTAAGCCTGCTAGCTGTGCACCAATTGGAGAGTTTGCCGCTGGACCAAACGCAGGCAGGCCACTCAGTTTGAAAGGTGCTGCTCTCCTCCGGCTTTCAAACCTGCATTCTCTGCTGGTCGTCTCTCTGGATGTCCAAGTGTAAATTAGATCAAGCTCTCGCTCCAATCTGATGCCAATTCATTGGGAGGTTATTCTCATTTCAGGCTCCCTCCTCCCTCCTCCTCTTGCCCATTCTCAGTGCTGAAGCATCCTGTTCTCTAATTAAAAGAGCACCTGTGTGGTGTGTTTAGACCCAGGCCGGAGCCTGGGCTTCAGTGGGCCCAGGGATGAAAACTCAATATTGTTCCCAGCTAGAACACACAGGCTCTGGGCACACAGGGGGCTGGACAGCCTGGACCATGGCCAAGGCAACTCTGTACGTGTGAGTGTGTGTGTGTGTGTGTGTTAGGGATTTGGGGTCTTTCCAAACACCCCCTTCTTGTCTTCTCCTCTTTCTCCTCTCTACACAGTTTCTCAGTGTTGGCGAAGGGCCGACTACCATGTTGTCAGGCAAGTTTGATTTTGTGTTTGGTGTCAGTAAATTATTTTGGAATAAGTCTCAGCTACTATGCCTCTTTCTCCTTCTCTGTATATATATATATATATATATATATATATATATATATTATATATATATATATATATATGGTGGTCCAGATTCTGTATATTCTTTAATACAGAAAAATATAGTGACTGAAAATGTGCCTTACATTAATGTTGTTGTTACCAGTTCAGTAGAAGATTCAAAATAAAACAGTAAAAGTACAATTTTGTAAACAAAAGTTGTGTTTTATAGTTTCCCAATCCAGTGCTCTAACCACAGGTGAATATGTCTAGATAGCCTGGAGCTAACACATCAGCCACAAGCTAACATGCTAGTCACAACAGTATGATACACTACATTACAATTCAATATATCATCACACATTTGTATTGTTACGTCCATATTACACATATATTAGGGGTGTAGCGAAGTATATAAAGGTATACAATTGGAAACAAAAACTCCAGCCACAAGCTAACATGCTAGTCACAATACAATGATACAGTACAATATGATATGGTATATGGATATACAGTTCAATATGATATGCTGTACTGTAACATCCATACCACACACACACACACACACACACACACACACACATATATATATATATATATATATATATATATATATATATACACACACACACATTACGGATATAAGAACAGATGTAGCAATACAATGTGTATATATAAAGATATAAAGAGGTTTGAAAAGAATAACAGCTGATGTCTCACTTTGTAATTAAATATTTCTCTAATATATGTAATATATAATAAGGTAATAAGGGAGTATTGATCATGATGTAGCATTGGTATTTCTTGTGTAAAGCCCACTCCCAACAAAGTATATTAAGAAAAAAAAAATCAGAAAATACCTCTCTCACACACAAACAGATTAGCTGGCTGCACTTGCAGTTTCTGACACCAATCATTTCAGTGCTGTTTGTGTTGCTAATTTCTGGGCAAGGTTAGTACTGGGAAAGATTTCTTACTCAAAGATGAGTACGCTATCTTTCCCCTCTACTCCCTCATCCTCTCACTTATTCTGACTCTGTTAATCATTCCTCATAATCTGTATTCAAGGTCATTTGTTTGTTGAGGTGCAGGGTGTTATAAGGTTTTGAGAATGTAACCTGTCCCTTTGAGGTGTTTCTTGTAATTGCAGGTTTGAAGTCAGGTTATGTACCGGAGAGAAAGAAGATTTTACTTTGCTGTTTGGCCTTGATGTAAAGTGCTGCTTTGCTTCCTGAACGAAGGCATTGTTCTCTTAAACAGCTGTCGTTTTGGCTGATTCAGAACAGATGGCAGTGTGTACGTGTATACGCCAGTGTGAGTGTGTATGTGTGTGTGTGTGCTCATGTGGTACAGTATGTGTGTGTGCTTGTGCTACATGATCACAGTTAGTTAGTGAATTGTGTGGGGGCCGATTAGACGTTACAGACTGCTTGTGATCCGCGTCTGCGTGTTCTTCTTGATTTCATTTTTCCCCCAGATTTTATATCATCATCTCAGGCCGTGCTTATTCATACCATTAATTTCATAGTATCGAAACCTAACAAAATATAATTAACTGATGTTTAACTGACACTTCAAGTGTCTCACAACTTAAGGTCTGTATTGACTTCTGTAATCAATTTCATCCATTCATTGGATATGTTAAGCATAGGCATAATCATGAATCTAAATATTCATGGGGTAAATTTGTAAATTAGACTGAATCGGGCATTTCCCTGCAGAGAATAGAGACCATTAAAAGCCTGTGTTCGCTATTGTAACCATGCAGACTGCCTAAAGGCATGAGGTGCACATTGTTCAGCTACAGCTGAAAGCTAAGAGGTGTCTGTGCCTCTGCCGATCTCATGGCATGACACTGCCGAGGGCTACAAAATGACTGTCCTCATGATGACTATGTTCTTTTCACTTGTGATTTTTTATGGCGCCAAGGCCACAGTGGTTAAATACTCGGACCACCAAATGTTCTTTCAAGAAGCAGAGCGCATTACCAGCGTTTGGGTGGCAGACACTACACTCTCTGCTGTCAATAGGTTTACTATGCTGGCACTCTTTCAAACTGAAGACACTCTATCAGGCTAACAGAAATGCAATTCAGCATGTGGTAAATGGTTGAAATAAACAAAACGGCTGCTATTTTAGACTAAAATCCCTGTCTTTGTTGTAAAAAGCGAAAGAATCCACGTTTCCAAAGGTTCATGTTGTGTCCCCTGCATGCATGTTGACAGATATTGTATTTAGATTTGAATCTATATGCTGTGTGTTGAAATTACAGCATGACTAGTTTGACTGTTGCAGTCGTTTAAAATGATTGAATATGTTCACAGAAAAGCCCTGCGTACTGTCCTCACTTAGAGCTGTTTACATACCTGGTCAATGCGTGATCAACACTTACACTCTGGAATGTGCGGAATTACCACAATGTGTTATACGCCCTCCCTCTCTTCTTTCTCTCACTCTCTATCTCTCTCTCTCTCTCATCCTTGCTCTCCTTCTCATTGTTCACTTGCATTTTTCTTGTTCTAGCAAAAATGACAATAAGTGAAAACAATTAGATGCTTTCTGCTTTAGTTTCATCCTAATGCCCTCCGCATATTGTAGCATATTCTTTTTTTTTCACAAGCTATTGTATTCAAATGTGAGCCGAGTGCATACACTCCAGGCTAAACAGTAAATAATAACTTTCAACTTTCTAATCTTTCGTAATTGACGCAAATGTGTTTTGTGTGGGGAGATTTTACATCGGAAACATACATACATTCATTTTTATTTACGAGCTGGCAAGCCTTTGCCGAGTAATGAGTGAAAATGCTTTCTTAATTTAAATGGCGAGTGTGTCTGTTAGGGAATGCATTAGAGGCTGCAGAAGAAGCGTAAGACATATTAATTGACAGACAGGAACTGCTGTCTCTGAGGTTGATACAAGTAATTTATTACTTCAGAAACGAATGCCACCTCCAGAATGTGCTTCATTAATTTCAAATTTAGTTTTAATTTCAAGCTGTTGCCCCTTGAGAAGAATAAGGTGGCAACTTGGGTTTGAAGAGACATTTTTTCTTTCCTTTTTTTTTTCCCCCTTCCTCTCTCCCACTGTCTCTCCGTCTCGCTAGCTTTCTCTCTTCTCAGAACAAAGGGAAGGGGAAATGTAACTTCATTTCATTTGGCAATATAACGCAGTAGTGAAGTTGAGAAGGAATTACTGCGAGAGTTTATGATATGAAATGGCCTTGACTGTTTTATTTGTCAGTAGTGGAGGAAAACACTGATGCCTAACATTTCTATCAGCTGTCTATATGCTTTTCAAGACATTGCAGGAAGCAGTTTGTGAAATCTTTATAATTGGACACAGCAATAACAAGGTTCTTTGTTTCTGTCTTTTCTTTGTTTTTTTTTCTCTGCAGCATACGTTCCTGAGGAGCTAAAAGAGGCTGCCTTAATGGATGAGGATGTGGAGGGAGATGATTCAGCGATTGAGGAGGAGCCTGCCATTAAGTACATGTGCCAGGACAAGGACTTCCTCGTCAAAGAACGGCCAGGCTTCCACGACTCTCCAGCTGCAGACCTCTCCAGCCATGAGATGGACAGTGAGTCACACCTCAGTGAGTCCAGTGACCGCATGTCAGACTTTGAGAGTGCCTCGGTGAAGAACGAGGAGGATGGCACTGCCAAGGAGCCACTTACATCACTCTCTTCAACTGCATCCATGAGGATGACAACCTCGGCCCCTCCCAGCGGTGAGGAAGCCACTGCCACAGGCCCTGACAGTCTAGAGCAGATGAAGGCTATTTACACCAGCTTCCTGACCAATTCCTACTGGTCATCCCTGAACTTGAATATGACACAGCCTCCACCTGAAAAACCCCCTCGCAGCCACAGCAGTAGCAGCAGCAGTAGCAGCAGCAGTAGCTGCGGTAGTGGGGGCTATGACTGGCACCAGTCAGCTGTAGCCAAGACCTTGCAGCAAGTCACGCAGAACCAGAACAGAATAATGCACCCAACATCTGAGCCAAACCTCTTTAGCACTGTGCAGCTGTACCGGCAAAGCACCAAGCTCTATGGCTCCATCTTTACTGGTGCTAGCAAGTTTCGATGCAAAGACTGCAGTGCTGCTTACGACACACTGGTTGAGCTCACTGTGCACATGAATGAAACAGGCCACTACCGAGATGATAACCACGAGACAGACAGTGAGGGCACTAAGCGCTGGTCCAAGCCCCGCAAGCGTTCCCTACTGGAGATGGAAGGTAAGGAGGATGCCCAGAAAGTCCTCAAATGCATGTACTGTGGCCATTCCTTCGAGTCACTACAAGATCTCAGTGTCCATATGATTAAGACAAAACACTACCAGAAAGTGCCTCTCAAGGAGCCTGTGACACCTGTGGCAGCCAAGATCATCTCTTCAGCACGCAAAAGAGCCCCTATTGAGCTAGAACTGCCCAGCTCACCAGACTCCAATGGAGGCACTCCCAAGCCCTCTCTCTCAGATCCCAGTGACCTGCTGCAGAAGACAGCAAATCCATACATCACTCCCAATAATCGCTATGGGCATCAGAATGGCGCTAGCTATGCATGGCAGTTTGAATCTCGGAAATCCCAGATCCTGAAGTGCATGGAGTGTGGGAGTTCACACGATACCCTTCAGGAGTTAACAGCTCACATGATGGTGACAGGCCACTTCATCAAGGTCACCAACTCTGCCATCAAGAAAGGCAAGCCCATCATGGAGTCACCCACTACCCCAGCCCCTAACACCGTGCCATCCACTGAGGATAAGGTACAGTCAGTACCACTGGCTGCCACAGCTTTTTCCCCACCTCCACCTGCTCCCCCTCCACCTAGTATATCTCCTGCCATCAGTGCTATGGAAATTAAAAAAGAGGAAAAAGAAGAAGAGTGCACCAAGGAAACCCCTAATAGTGGCAAAGACAGGAAAGTGACAGATGATGAGCCTGAGGAGAAGTTTGACATTTCCTCCAAGTATCCATATTTGACTGAAGAAGATCTGGAAGAAAGCCCTAAAGGTGGGTTTGACATCCTGAAGTCACTGGAAAACACAGTCACTTCTGCCATCAACAAAGCACAGAATGGCACACCCAGCTGGGGAGGCTACCCCAGCATCCATGCTGCCTATCAGCTTCCAAACATCATGAAACTTTCCTTGCGCAACTCAGGAAAGAGCTCCCCCCTAAAGTACATGTTTTCTGGAGAAGAGATTCTGTCACCCACCAAAACCCAACCTCTTATCTCCCCTCCAAGCTGCCAGACCTCACCTCTACCCAAAAATAACTTCCATGCCATGGAAGAACTTGTCAAGAAAGTTACGGAAAAGGTGGCCAAAGTGGAGGAGAAGATGAGGGAACCTGGTGCAAGAACTTCCCCTCTAAGAAGAACTACACCTTCCCCTTGTAGTAGTGAAGCTGGGGACTCTGCCAGAGGGGAATCCCCCAAAGAGAGGAGAGGAGCCAAAACACCAGAGAGCAATGGGTCAGCAAATGCTCACAAGGACTCCAATGGTGAGGCCCTCACAAAAGAGTCTTTAGAGAATGGCACTGACCATGCTGTGAAAACTCCCGTCACTTCGCTGTGCAGCAGCACTGCAATTATAACTGACCATCCTCCAGAACAGCCATTTGTCAACCCCTTAAGTGCACTTCAGTCTGTCATGAATGTTCACCTTGGTAAAGCTGCTAAACCTGCCCTGCCATCTCTAGACCCCATGAGCATGCTCTTCAAAATGAGCAACAGTTTGGGAGAGAAGGCAGCTGTAGCTGCCTCCACTCCTGCTCAGACCAAAAAGACAAACGAGCATCTCGACCGCTATTTCTACCACATCAACAACGACCAGCCCATTGACCTGACCAAAGGGAAGAGCGAAAAGAGCAGCTCCATGGGATCAGCTGTATTGTCCACCTCCACATCAACTCCTTCTTCAGTTTCACCCTCCTCAACCATTACCATGGCCAAGGCATCCTCAGCTGTGGCTTCATTCATGTCTAACTCACCTCTGCGTGAAAATGCCCTGTCTGACATCTCCGATATGCTTCGGAACCTGACAGAAAGCCATGTCTCCAAATCTTCCACACCAACCAGTCTGTCTGAGCGGTCAGATATAGACGGTGCTACACATGAAGAGTCTGAGGACATGTCACCAGCTCAGAAGCGCAAGGGCCGCCAGTCCAACTGGAACCCTCAGCATCTGCTTATCCTGCAAGCACAGTTTGCCTCCAGCTTGCGGCAAACGGGTGACGGCAAGTACATTATGTCTGACCTCAGCCCACAGGAACGCATGCACATTTCTCGCTTCACTGGCCTCTCGATGACCACCATCAGCCACTGGCTGGCTAACGTCAAGTACCAGTTGAGGCGGACAGGTGGTACCAAGTTTTTGAAGAACCTCGATTCTGGCCACCCTGTGTTCTTCTGCAGTGACTGTGCTTCACAGATACGTTCTCCCTCCACCTACGTCAGCCATCTTGAATCCCACCTGGGCTTCCGGATTAGAGACTTGGCTAAATTGTCCGGGGAGCAGTTGGTAAGCCAAATCTCACGCCACACTAAGGAACTTTCCGAGAAACTGCTTTCGGCCCAAGCTCATGCTATGGCCCACTCACTCCCTAACCCTAACACCAACCCTAGCCCCCATTCCCACTCCTCCTCCCCTTCGCCAGACGAAGAGGCCAATGGCACCACGTATCAGTGTAAACTGTGCAACCGGACTTTTGCTAGCAAGCATGCTGTCAAACTTCATCTGAGCAAGACTCATGGCAAATCCCCTGAGGACCACCTTATGTATGTCTGTGAACTTGAGAAACCTTAGCGGTGGTCAAGGACACTACTCTGTCTCCCAGTTCTCTGTTAATCTTGCTTTCTCTCTGAAGCCTTCGAACTAACATTTCTTAAAAGCAAGATGAACTGACAATGACTAACAAAGAACTAACTGCACATAGATGCCACAAAACTACTGTTTAGTTTCGGCACATGATGTGTGGGTTTTCCACCTGGAATAACTCATTCTGGTCCAGAGACATTCTCTTTCCTCATTTTAGGTAAAAATGAAAACTGAAAAGAAAAAAAAACAAAAAAAAAAGAGAATTTTCTAACTGTGCAGTGTTGAGTGAAGAGGTGCTGTTGTCACTGGTAAAATATGAAGGTATATAAGACAAAGTTAAAATGAAGTTGTATGTATTTGAAAGTTGTGTAAATTGGATTCACCTTTTTTTTCCTTTTCTTGGCATCCCTGAGATGCAGTAAGCTGCATGCATTGATGAAATGGTTTAGTTCAAACTTTTGGTAACTGAATCTCTCTGTCCTTCTTTCTTTTTGTCAACGTGACCTATGTGTGCTGGTGTCAGCAGACAAAATTTAACCCTCTGAGTACGCCCAAGCACTTGTACATTAACAACCCAGAATATAGAAAATAACGAGAGAAATCAGTGATCGGGAATACCCAAGTTCAAGTATATTTGAGAGGCCACATTATTGTGTATTTTGGTAACTCACAAACAAACAAACAAAATAATAGCTTACCATACCTGATGTTCAAGCTGGGTGGCTTCTGATGCAAAACGTGTGTGAATCCAAACGGCAGTCTTTTCGTTTTCTGAAATCAGGGGCCTTTATGAATTCAGGTCGGTGTAAAAATATGTACATAAAAAAAAAACATATAAACTAATTTCTGTCTAAATTATGCATCATTTTATATTTTTAATTTAAGAGAAGTATGACTATCTACTGGTGCACAATATATGAAGACATTAATGAAATTGTTTTGCACAATAGTTTTATAAATGTTATTTAATCAGATGATATGAAAATGAGAGAAGAAAAAAAGTAACATCCTAAACTTTTATTTCCACCTCGTGCTCAAAGGGTTAAACTTCTTGTACAAGACAATACTTGTTCCATCATTTCTTGAACATTTAAAAGGTTGTACAAAAGATGCTACTTTATAACGCAAGGAGGAATTCCTCAATGTAACCTATTATTTATAAGCACTCTTGGTTGTTGTTTCATATTGTAGAATGCCTTTTTGATTGGTAACTTTTATGTTGTTCTGTCTAATTACTCTCCCATGATTCCGCACTGCAGCTTTATCATTTTTTGGGGGGGATATGAAAGGTAACCATGGTTACCTTGCCTCCGATTGACAGTTCTGCTACATTTTTGGCAGTTAATTTACTGAAATAACTGACAGCTGCCAGTGAATGGAAATCTAATGTGTAAAATATTGGCATGTAAACAGCACAGGCACTGTTATGCATTCTGTGCCGTGATTCTCTTTTTTTTGTTGTTGTTGACAATGAAGCACCCATTATATGACTTCATATAACCTTTTTTTCTACTGCAGCATTAAAATGAAAATGTTTTGGGTTTTTTTGCAATAACTTGACGTGTCATGGCTCACAAGTTTGTCAGGCGGTAGCGGCTGGGTAATGAGCAGACTAAAGGGAAATGGTGTCAGTGTGTGGTGAAGATGAACATATTGTGGTGATGGGGATCAGTCACTTTGTGGCTAGACCATGCACTGTGGTCGTAGTTTGTATGCCTGTTTACACTGACCAGCCACTTCTTTAGGTACCTTTTCTATACTTACTGAATAATATAGGTGCACTTTGTAGTTCTACATTTACAGACTGTCCATCTGCTTTTCCGCATACTTTGTTAGCCCCCTTTCACCCTGTTCTTTAATGGTCAGGACACCCACAGAGCAAGTATTATTTGGGTGGTGGATCATTCCCAGCACTGCTGTGACACTGACGTGGTGGTGGTGTGTTAGTGTGTGTTGCGCTTGTATATGTGGATCAGACACAGCAGTGCTGCTGGAGTTTTTAAACACTGTGTCCACTCACTGTCCACTCTATTAGACACTCCTTCCTTGTCGGTCCATCTTGCAGATGTAAAGTCAGAGATGACAGCTCATCAGTTTCATCCTCTAGTCCTTCATCACCACAGGATGCTGTTGGCTGGATATTTTTAGTTGGGGGACTATTCTAAGTCCAGCAGTGACACTAAGGTGTTTAAAATTCCAGCAGCACTGCTGTGTCTGATCCACTCATACCAGCGCAACACACCACCACACACCACCACCACATCAGTGTCAGTGCTGTGCTGAGAATGAGGCACTACTCAAATAATACCTGCTATGTGGTGGTCCTATGGTGGACCATTGAAGAACAGGATAAAAGGCAGCTAACAAAGTATGCAGAGAAACAGACGGACCACAGTCTGGTACACTTATGTGCACCTGTATAGTAAGCGGACCTAAAAAGTAGAAATAGTGTAAATAAAAGAAGAAAGTAGCCCATCAGTGCATATGTATGTGTTTAGGCACAAAACATGGGAAATTTAAATCTATCCACTATGGTGGGTGCAATGCAACGATATTTTACATTTTACATGACACATTATGTCATAATATATTTTTGAGCATACAGTCGATATCACTACAGACAATGACCGACTGCATGTTTCATTCCAAAGAGAGCAAAATTAGTTCTATTTAACTTTTAGTGCAGTGCCCTGTGTGAACTATTAGCTACAATCCTCTGTACTAAGGTAGTTCTGGGGCTTTTTTTCAGGAAAACTAAACACTGTGATATGTATAGTACTGTGCCAAATTCAGGGACCACTTTCATTTATTTATTGCCCAGTCAAAATGGCCATTAACTACAATATATTAATTTTTAAACATACTGAAAAAGCAGAAAACATATTTCTAACAGAGAATTACACTACATATATTATTCAGTATTTAGTGTCTGCACAGTTTGCCTTTATTACATCTGTGCTTTTAGTTTCAGTTTTTTTTAAAAATCTGAAAGAATAGTTTTCCTCAAGTTTAGTCATAGAAGTTGATTACATTTTCTGCTTCTCACCATCCAAGTGATCCCAAAGACACTGAATGATGATGAGGTCTGGACTCTGGGGCGGTCAGTCCATTGTTCCGAGAACATCAGCAGGTCTACCATAGGTTTAGCATGTTGGTGGTCTACCAGGTCTTACACGGTTGTTAAATGTCCCATTTTCTCTGTTTCTTTTAATAATGTTTTGAACTTGAACCTTTGACTTTCCCCTATGTAGATCATATATTTAATCTCCAACAAAATATTTTCTGATAAAGAAATAACTTCTTAGCCATTTTGACTGGGAATTAAATAAATGAAGGGTGGTCTGAATTCTGCACAGTGCTGTTATCATGTGTCATAAAAACATTGTGTGTTATGTTTTTGCCATATTGCCCATCCCTACTACCCACTAAGCATTTGCGAAAAAGGCAGATGAATGAAGTATGTATTGGTCCATTGTTTTTAGAGCCTTATAATTAATTTGTAGAAAGCCCTGTATGAGGCGCAATTTAGCAGAGCCTTATACTGAGAGTACTGCTCTTATATCACTCTCTTGGTTTAACTCCCTGCTTGGTGACATATCCATTCACTAAGTCTCCTAATATGGTTTAACTGGGGAGGCATCAGACAATGTGAAGTGAAAAGTGCCCTTCCCCCCTCTATTTCGGAGCTGGGATGTAGCGGATAATTGCATAAACCCTGGCATTAACTGTCTCATTTTCACCATTTTATTCCCAGCTCTGTAATTAGTGCAGACTTCTATTTTGTGCGCATAGATTTGTTTGGGCTTCGTGCAGTATGACAACAATACTGCACTGAGAAGAGTGTGACTTTCAAGTCCTGTTTTACATGGATCAACAATTAGACACGGCAAAAAAAAAAAAAAACTCTCTCGGATATATGTGGTGGCGCCAGTGCGGTTATGCGAGTATGCGCATGGATCAGGGGAGTAAGGGCGTATAAGAAATATTGTATAATGGTGTGACTTTTTTCCCTCGAAAAAGTGTTTCCTCTGTTTAGTTACTGAATATGTTTCTCGTCATTTCTGTCAGTGAGCATTCAACACACAGACACACACCCACGCACACAAACACACACACACACACACACACACACACGTCAGCAACCAGGTAGAAGGGACTTCATGCATGGTGACAAGGTGCTGCTGTGTGTGAAAATGTCAGCCTTCACAGGCTTGCCTGAAGTCTGGCGCCGTATTTAAGGTGCTCATTAGTCGCAAAGAAAATATGCGTGAAATTGAAGTGTAAGAAAGCCATTTTCTCTCCTTCTCTCTCTCCGAGCTGAGCCGAGCCCAGGCACTTGGGCTTATTAAGGTTCAAAACAAGCATGCAAGGAGACAATGTGTAGCTATCAAGAAATGCCTACATACACACACACGCACACACACACTCACATATCCTCATATATACACAACATACTCTGCGGTTCTCCTACTGGAGTATTATTTTACAGTTGTTAAGTCCATACATGACACTTATAGAGGGGACAACATGTACCTGTCAAGTAGGTCCTATACACCTACTTCTTCATTTAGGGCCTATATGCTGACATTTTTCCTGCATGGGTGATGGCCTATTTCTGGGAGGAACAATGGACATGCACAAGATACTCTCACAGAAAAGAAAAATAAAAAAGAGATCCTCTTAATATCCCCGTAATTTCTCCTACACATCAATGATATCACATGAAAAGACAACAGAGATTTCTGCTTAAAACTGTACTATGTAAGATTTTTGAAGCACAACCCGCATTACAAGATCTTCTTCCACATGTTGCATGCATTTCCACAATTCCAGCAGAGAGGTCTCCAAATCCACAAAACTTACATAGTGTGGCTTTAAATCTATATTTCTCAAAATATGTTGCAAAAAGACCCCAGTAATGTCACGTGTCTCAATAAGGTCACACATTGTGTTCAGATATGCCAAAATAATAATATGTGCTTATGTGCAACTGACCTAAAGACAGGAAGCCAGCCATTACCCATCCCTCTCAGTTTTAATGCTGTGAATGTTTTTTTGATAACAATTACAAACTGACTTTGCAATTGCCTTGCAGTGTACTAGAACACAGTGCTGAACTAATAATGTGATACGGTAAAATTTTGCATTTTAGACCAAAATAACTTTTTTTTGTCAAATTACTTAAATATCCCCCGAAAGACTGATGAAAAAAGACAGTGAAAAAGAAACACCCTTCACATTTGATCCCCGGTGATGCC